TACGCCAACGTCTCTGGCCATTCGCCGATTTTGACAATTTATTAAACATCTGGCAACAATTCGGCACATTTTAATACTAATCTCAATAGGGTTGGCAATTTCCACCCCAGATATTTCCCTCCTAAATATGAAAAAACATACCTTAATCTGAATGACTAAACGATTTGTTAATCGATCTCTATTTCGCTTTAAATATGTATTAATAAAGTTATACAACAATTGCTGTGATTTGTTTGCCTTATAATTGACGGCCGAAGCCGTGAACATAATGTAGAGAAATATAGCCGTTAATACAATGTGTATATAAATAAAGATTAATTTCAAAACAATAATTATATCGTAAAACGATATTATAAATTGATATATAGTAACAATTAGGCCCATAAATGCCCAAAATAATAGTAAACATTTAGACCAATAACTAGTGTTATATTCACTGACTTCTGTGTATAAATCGGTAAAATCGTTAATAATTTGCAAAGAATTTTGAAACTGTTTTTTATTTATCAAATCATTGTATTTATTATTTAATGCATTGGTTTTAATGATAATATATTTACAAATTATATAAAAATACAATAATTGATACAATAATATATTCCACATATAATAACACCAAACACTAAATATTATTGAATGTGGGATTCCGTAGACTATTGTATTAAATAGTGTTGTGTTTATTGAATATATAATTGGTATAATAATTGCAGCAAACAGTGGTCTATAATAAGTGTTGTTTCGATGAATAGACTTAAACAAACGTTTTGATTGTTTGGCAAACTTCTCAATAATTACTGGATTTGTGAGACCAATAGATTTTGGTGAACGTAAACCCGAAAGCATTTCAAATATTGACATATACTTCAATTCAATACTATTGTTATACACATAATAATTAATTAGTTGAGAGAATATAGTGCAAAAACATGGTAAAATCAATATCATATTATACAGAACTGGTATGTGGTAAAAATACCCAAAATCACCGAGTATTATATGAATGAATTCATTGTTACTACTAATGATAATTGCTAATAATTTTAAGACTAGAAATATAATGTTAATAATTGATACAACCATTGGGTTATTAAACCATTTTCTATGGTTTTGTAATTTATATGATGTGAAACTCAAACCAATTCTATATAATATATTATTAAAATCATTGATAACCAGATTATTCGGCAATAATTTATTGATTTTTATAAATATCATATTTATTCTAATTTCAATCAAATGAGTAAAAGGACTAAGTTTAAATTTTAAGTTTTAGCGTTAATTCTCAATTAATACTCAAAGATATTGTGTCTCTATTTAATAACCTGCAACTGATATATCTAGCTACCATCTAAACAAAAACAACCCATACTATATTAAAGCCATATGTGCACGCAACTTGCTAATTTATTTCGCATTTTGACATTTGATTTCTAGGAAGTTTATAAATGTTTATATACTGTATATATTTTACATACAATGTTATTTTTAGAATTAAAAAATAGTTCATTAATTATTAATGATATCTATGTGATTTTATTTTTCAAACAATTGCTATGATACATGAAATAATTTTATTCGTTAAAATTAAAAACAACATTGTTAATAATTGATGATATTTATGCGTGTGTTTGCATTATAAACAGCATAATTTCTAATATGATGATGATACCTAAATCAAATACTGATATTTATTATTTAATTCATTGATTTTAATGATAATGTATTTATAAAATAATATAAAAATATAATAATTAATACAATAATGTATTTAATGTTAAATAACACCAAAAACTATATAACATTGAATATGGGATTCCATTAGCGTTGCCACAAATATTTTGGTTATTCTGTAAAATTGTGAGAATTTTACCAAACATTTCTGTAATTTCCTTTATTTACTTGTTTCTCAATTAAAACTTAACATTCATAACATTTCCAAAAAAATATACTTTTGCAAAAATTCGAGTGTTTATAATTGTCTTTATAATAAAATTATTTAAGTATCAATTCATTTTATTCAGTCATTAACAAATATAATGTTCATTGTTTTTAGTTAAAAATATCTAGTAAGTTTTTCTTAAATATATTACTAAAACTTTTTAAATGCAACAACTCGTGATAGATTTACTATTGCTAAAACACGATGACTTTATTTTAAAATAAAACTATTTTTAAACATGATCGACTGTACATTATTTAAATATTTGATCAAATATTAGTCGTTTTTTATTTTAATAAATATTCTACAATAGTTTGTTATCTAGCAAAAGCAAATGGATTAATTTTTAAACTTGGTCTTACTATACATAAGAGCAAAGCAAAATAAAAATGAATTGTATTTAAATGGCTGATTGGATGTTGATCCAAAATAAATTAATTTACGATTGTTCAATGTATAAATAAGTATCTTAATGATAGTTTACAGTTTCTAACCACTAATAATTTATTAACATATTACATAAATATATTGATATTACTCGATATTTTATAATAATAATTATTTAGTAAAAGCAAGTGAACAATTTACATACAACGTTGTACTGAGACTATTACTTTTATAATTAGAATTATATTTATAAACATGATAATTTTAAAATGACTATTTTTACAAAATTAAAAGTCAATAAAAATATGTTGTCTATAATTAATAACAAACTGTTCAGTCAATGGATTATCCATTAAAATAATATTAATAGGTTTTATATGCTGTTATCATTTGGGATAAATTGTGTACTGTAAATTGGTAAACACCTTTTTAAACAATTTTACATTTTTAAAACTAATGAATATAAAGTTTAGGTACTCTATAATTAGCATAATTTTAATTAAATAACATAACTAAGATAACAATATTTATTATTTGATTAAATCAGTATATTTAATATAAAAATAGATTCTAATAAGCGTAATTGGGTTCATTAACAACTTTATAAATTTACAAAACTAAACAGGTGCACATATAAAGTTACATATTCTGTTTTACAGCAAATATAAAAGTTTTAGTGTTAGTTTTAATAAAGACAAATAATTTGTACTTTCATTTAATCAATTTGTAATTTTATAATCAATAATTTTATATCCTATTTGTCTGTTCATTTAAGGAAATACTTACATGAAAAACAATAATAATCTTTGTAATTTTAGACAAACACATCACTCAAATAATATTTGATAATCAGGTACGTTTATTGTGCGTCCCACTTTCATAAGAGTAAAAGTGTTCATAAAATTGATAAAGCTAAATGTCACTATGAATATGTTAATTATTCTGTAAATTGATAACTTATGAATTATACCAAAATATTCGTGAGCGCATATGGATTTTACCTAAACATCTTTTATTTAATATATAAAATTTAAATTAATTACTTATTTATATTAAAATTTACTATTATATCAATGTTATTTATACAGTGCATTGTTAACTGATACATATAAAACTATATAAAACTGTATATAAAACTATTTGCTGAAATTGACAGCATTGATAAGTTTGATAAAACGTTGTAAATATTGTTCAACAGCATAAATGTCAATTTGAGTTTATTTGATGATTACAATAGCGATAGATAAAGTGTATATAAGTAACAGATTTCACACAAAACCAAAACTAATTAAACGAGTCAAACAAAAAACACAACAATGAAACTATTACTGCTAACCGCACTCGTATGCGGACAGGCATTGTTCACCGTAGCCAAGCCTAAGGTGATCTGCTATTGGCCCAACTGGCGTATGGACGAAGGGGGTGACAATAAGCATACCCCGGAAAACATTGACCCAACCCTTTGTACGCACGTTCACCACGCGTTTCACGAGTTGGACGATCAGCACAATGTGGTGCGAGACAGTGCCGGCCCTCAGCCCGATATATACCGGCGCCTGAATGAGCTGAAAAAGAAGAACCCGGAGCTAAAGCTTATTATATCGATGGGCGGCGCCGGCGCTCCCGACGCCAAGTACTCCCATCTGATCAGTGACGCGGGCCGTAGGGCTCAGTTCATTAAAAACACTATCGCTTATATGCATAAGTATAAGTGGGACGGTCTGGACATTGACTGGGAGTACCCGGTCTGTTGGGGTGGCGATTGTAATAAAGGACCCAAATCCGATAAAGCCAATTTTGGTAAATTCTTACAGGTATTATGAGCATTTATATTAATTATATTTTTATTACAACCATAACTTATTAAGGTATTTACAAAATATAAATAATATTAGTGCATATAATGTATGATGGTAAAACAACCACACATTAAACATGGATCACACTAGCGATGCTATACTTTAACCACAATTCGGGTAAATCTCAAGGAATAGATTAATATTATTTATAGATTTAATATCAGTCCCATAGACATAGCATTAATCCCATAGTGTTATCGTTGACTTAACATTAGTACATATAAAACGCACTAGTCCATGATTAACATTGCCCATGTTAAAGTATAGTCATAAACTTAAGCTGTAGTCATATATTAAATCCCAACGAGTTGGGTCGAGCCAAATGATCCTATAAATTTTCAATAAATTTAAACATTTTATTAAAATAAATGTTTATAATAACGGTTGGTTATATAAAAGTAAAATTTAAAAATATACCGCCCGCAATTTATTCCCAATTAAATTATTTTGAACTTTGTTTAATAAACAAGTAAGTATTTTAATAATAGATTACAGTTTATAAACCCTAATAATTTATTAAAATTTTTAAATAACGTACAATAAAATTAAACAAATTGACAAGATATATATGATCTATAATGTTTGATTATTATCCAGGAATTACGGGCGGCATTTGATAAGGAAACTCCCAAATTTTCGTTGTCTTGTGCCGTACAGGCGGACGCCGATGTGGCCGACCAGGCCTACGACTATCACGCTATGGCCAGGTATGCGCTCAAATGCCACACTAAAAATACAGCATTAAATCAAATTAAAAATACCATACAATAAAAAATATACCCTAAAATCACGGTATAGTGCTTTGGACTACGTGGCTATCATGACGTACGACGAGGCCGGCGCCTACGAGCACCACACCGGCCACCACTCAAAATACACGTGGTGTATAAGCGCTACCGAGCGCTACCACTCCAAGGGTATACCCAAAGAGAAGGTACTAATGGGGGTCCCATTCTATGGACACACGTTTAAATTACAGGACAAAAACAAGCACTCGATCGGCGCCCCCATCACTGGTGAGGGCCGTACACCCCATGGCGAGGGCGACAATGCTTTCTACAGTGAAATGTGTGATTTGGTTAAAAATAAGGGTTGGGCTAAGGAGGACCCGGATCAGGGACACGACCCCATCTCATACCACGACCTAACGTGGGTGGGCTATGACGACCCCTACGCCGCCTATGAGTGAGTATAATTTGATTGTTTTGTGTTTGAAATCTGTTGCTTTATATACACTTTAATCTATC